ATCGCAGGGTGTCTGGGCTCTCCCTTAGAGACAGGGTGAGAAGCTCGATCATCTGGGAGGGACTCAGAGTAGAGCTGCTGCTTCTCCATGTCGAGAGGAGCCAGCTGGGGCATCTGTTTAGGATGCCTCCTGGACGCCTCCCTGGTGAGGTGTTCCGGACACGTCCCACCGGGAGGAGACCCAGAGGAAGACCCAGGACACGCTGGAGGGACTATGTTTCTCGACTGGCCTGGGAACGCCTCGGGATTCCCCCGGAGGAGCTGGACCAAGTGGCTGGGGAGAGGGAAGTCTGGGCCTCCCTACTTAGGCTGCTACCCCAGCGACCCGACCCCGGATAAACGGAAGAAAATGGATGGATGGATAAATATAAATAAATAAATATATATATATATATATGATGTGCATTTTAGCTTATATTACTACCTTGAAATACTTCTTCATTCAAAGTCATCCTAGTTGCACTGTTATATTCTACCGTGTTGTTGTTTACTATCTCTCTTTAGGACCTTGTAAATATTATAATTACTTTTTCACTTTTGGTACTTTATTTTTGTACCCTTATTGCATGTTTTAGTATTTCTTTTTTGTTTGTTTGAATTCTTAGCAAATCAAATCAGTTCTTCTCATCCTAAACTTTTCATTGTACCGTTGGCCTTGTGTTAACCTGCATATGACAAATAAACACAACTTGAACATCTTCTAGGTGTAATTATTGATTTAAAAGAATTATCGGGAAGTTTAGATAAACAAGCTTTACACTTTCATTTGACTAAAACTAAAATATATTTTCTCCAAAAACCTGTCGAACTTAAATCGCTGCAGGGTGTAAGCATCAGAATACGTAGAAAAGTTTTCCTAGCTAAATTAGTAAAAGAAGTCATTTTTCACTGGAGAGTGGACTCCATTCCTACGAGTGATCGTGTGGAACGTAACCTTGATGCTTGCTCTTCACATCCCGTGCGGAAGCTGTGTGAGGCTCACCTGTCCTCTGCAGGCCTGGAGTCTGCCTGTTTTGGCTGCACCTTTTTGCGCTGATGACCTCCTTCCAACAGCTGCTCCCCCTGAGGAAAAATCCCCTCCATCAAGTCCATTGTTGTCTTCATCTTGCTCTGATCCAGAATATCAACCAGTGATTTATCCTTCCACATGATGTCCCGGGCCAGCACATCCCTTTTCTGGTCCTCCTGCTCAGCCAGACCTGTGGTTTCTCGCTTTCTGCTGGGCTCATCTGTGGTCAGCAGCAGCTGCTGGCTGTTAGAGGTGGAGTAATCCCCCACTGTGGTCATGTACACGTCTCTCTGCTGCATGTGAGAACCTGCAGTTTCGTCAGGCTCCTTCTGACTGGTAAAGACAGAGAAGACCGAGTCCTGACCCAGAGCTCGAAGACTGCTGAGCCTGGCCACATCATGCCCCTTAGACTCAATAAGTGGGAGGTCACTTTGCTGCAAAAATGGAGAGTTCTTCTTTTCTACACTTCCCTCTGAATGCACAATCCTGATGGGCACTTTTCTTACTGAAGTATTTTGGTTTGCTATAATCTGTTCCATCCTGAAACACAAGAAACAGAGAAAATCTCATAAAAGGACATTCAAAGACGACACGCTTCTTGTTGCTGAATCCAAGTTTCATTGAATGATGGTAGTTTTTTTCCATGCTCAGAGTGCTGGAATATCTACCGTAACCAGACTCCTCCCTCTCTGGTTTCAGCTGGATGTAAAAATCCTTTTGCACACTCCTAAAGTCACTAGACAATACTGTATATGGTTTTGTTTAGAACTAAGAAAAAAACGAAGTTTAATATTTAGTACATTTCAGCATTTAGGAGAGTTCTACAGAAGCTGCAGAGATAAACATCATAACAGCTTGATGTAGCATTAAAACACAAACTGCTCTAACTGTGCTGCCACAAGTTGAGCAGCACTGTGTCCATTGAGCATAAATCTTATAAATATGCTACCTGTTTGACTCCTCGTTGTGAAGAGAGACAGGAGGCTTGTTGCTGAGTCTCTGTGGAGAGAAGTGTGGAGAGGGAGAGCGCTGCCCCTCCATGCTGTAGTGCCTGGCAGGTCTGTAGGGGAAAGCTGGGGGAGACGGAGGATTGGGAGGCGATTGATGATTGACTGTCCCTTGTCCTTTGCGCTGCTCAGGATCTCCTTTTGCAGAGTAGATGGGATGAAAAGCGGAGTTAGGTTCGAAGTTAGCAGAGCGGTGAGCAAACACGTCATTTGGGAAACTGGTGAAAGACTCGTGGGAGTTGACGTCTTGGATTCTGGTGGGGGGAGGCTTCTCCAGTGCAGAGCTCTTCCTCTGTCCAGATGATGGCGGCTCTGCGTAGCTGTGGTCATCGGGCTCAGGGAAGCTGTAAGAAATAGATTTGTGGTTCATGATGGCAGCAGCAGCTCCCTGTCTGTAGTCAGGTTTGGCTCCTGTCCTGGGTGGAGCGGGTGGAGCGGGTGGGGCTGGGTAATTTTCAAACTCTGCTCGCTTTTCTGCCACTTGGCCTGAAGCACAGTCAGAGAACCTGAGGAATAAAACAACAAGCTTTTAATTACACAGCCAGGCAGCACAGACTATCATCTACGTCTCAGTCAAATAATACTGTGGCAGAGGCCTCGTTTGTCCCTGAGCTCTCCAGCAGCCACTGTGATTATGCCACCATGACAACACAAACATCTCCTTCTGCTCCACAAGCCTCCTTCCTGTTAGCTGCTCAGCTGGCAGCCTAAAGAGGGATATTTCAGTTCCAACAGTCAGCATGAAGGGATTAATAATCCTCCAGAGTAGAGAGGCAATCTCTAATCACACTTTTTCCTAAATCACACTCACAACTTTAACTCTTCAGAGCATATGTGTCAAACTCGAGGCCAGGGGGCCAAATGTGGCCCTCCTTAACATCTTATCTGGCCACCAAGATGTTATTTTAAATGTAAAATACTTTTATTACTTTATTTTTTTTTCAGTAATCTTTGATTATGATGTCAAAAATGCAACAGAGAATGTAAAATGAGACCAATCAAACTCTTGTTGAGGAACCTGCAACCAAGAAAAGATGTTGGGTCTAACTTGAGTTAATGTAGATTCTGAATCCGGCCGGCTCTTAGTTTGAAAAAGTTTTAATTTTGGCCCCCTTTTGTAAGTGGGTTTGACACCCCTGCTTTAGAAGAACAATAAAGCACTCAACTCTCTGGAGCCTGATGGTGAAGTGAAGAAGGGGACTGTAAAAAGATTAAACCTTAAAGTCTTCCATCATTCAGTGAAATTCAGGCTCACAGCAGCAAAAAGCAATCAATACCGGACACATCCAGACTGGCTTGTATGCATAAAAGAACAGTCTAATACCATAGCTTTACCCACGTGGGGATAACGTTTCCACACAGCCTCTAATGAATCCAGTTAGGCACACTCAGAGAACATTACACATAAATCATACAACTGATTCCTCAGTCAGATAAAATACACTGACCGTGGGCAGACAGACGCCACAAGCAAAGCTCCAGACTGAAGTCTTTACAAGCTGGAACAAGCTAGCTAAAAAACAACTGCTGCTTCTGGAGCTCAAACTCCTCGTGCCTCAGTTGTAGACCTGCATAATCTGAAAAGTTACATCCAGCAAGCAGGATGCTGACAATTACAGCTGCGAAACTTTTACTGAGCTAGTCAAACAACAACGTTAGTGCAACGCTGCCAACAAATTTATGATTAGAAAATATTTAAATACCCAAACAAATACAACTGTTACACTAAATCACTCTTATTACACTAATAACCACCTCACCCTGTGTTGCTTTAATGATTTCCACCCATCAGAAGTCAAAGTGAGTGTCTTGTCTCACCTGTCGGCTCTCTGGGAATGAAGCCACTGGTTGGTGTCTCTCCACCAGTATCAATATCACTGGGTGAAACACACCTCACTAAGCTCATTTCCTAGACCTTTTCATGACAATAACATCCCCTGCTTGTTGTTGTAATGCAAACACGAGTGCCATCTGGTGTGGCTCCAACAATGGAGTTACTCAATATCAGTTACTTTACACTCCTCTACGAGTTTCAGCCGTGGTGTTTAAATCATGCCGGAAAACTCTGGAAAAACTAGTTGCAAACGTCACCAACTCGTCTTTAACGCACAACTAACGTGACCTTTAAAGAAATATCCCAGTTGTTTTGTGAAGTGGAGTTCTGTGTGAAAGTTGAACAAATATAAACTGTTGTGAATATGAAGGTTGTGATATGAACAAATATCTTACCTGCTGTAGATATCTCCATTATAATTAAGTTTTATTAGGTCAAAGATTACATTACATTATGAAAATGATAAATAGATAAAAATTAGAAGTCTACTTGGCTTTCAATAATGAAGGAATGGTTAAATGGTCAACGGACTGTACTTGTACAGCTCCTTTCTATCTGATCAAGACACTCAAAGCTCTTTACAACAACCTGTGCCTCATTTACCCGTTCATACAGCTCTATACTAGATCTCTACAAAATAATAATCAGTGCTTTACATCACATTCATACACCGATGGGACACAGGCAACGAGGGGTTCAGTGTCTTGCCCAGGGACACTTCGGCATGTGACTGCTGGTGGATTCAAACCCCCAACTCTCGTATTGGAGGACGACTGCTCTAACCGCTCAGCCACTGCATGGTTGAAATGAAAAACAAATGTCTGAACATTTTATGGTATAAGGGTACAGCTGATGAGCCTTAGATTTTAAAGTTTTACTACAACTTGCGTTTGAAAAGATTTCTAACAGAATTCTTAAGGAATTGATATAAATGTTGACTGTTAGCTATAAAGCAGTCAACAAGTAGCTAAGTTTATTACCTATAACTAAAAACTTATTACTGTACTTTCCGGTCAATAAGCCCTTACTTTTGTCACAGAGAGATTTATTTGTCATACACACCACATGTGGTACATGTGGTGGAACAAGATTATGTACAGTCCAGTCAGAGCTCAAGTTAGCGCTTCCAAACTTTTTCCAATCACTAAAACATGTTTTCTTGACAAACTAAGGTAGAAGATTAGGCTCAAACTACAAACATATAACTATTATTGTTTTTCAAGCTCAAGGTTCTTTATTGTCATTTCAATCACATGTGGAACATGAGGTGGAATAAAATTGTGTACACAGGGTCCCAGTTACATCAAACAATAGCAAAAATATTAAGTGTACAAAGAAACAGTAAATAAGGATGTAAGATATCAACTAAGATATACGCTAAACAAACGGTACGCTAAAAGATCTAAGATCAGCCAGTCACTAGTAGTGCAAAACAACACACCGATCAGCAGCAGCTGTGAGCAGCAGCAGCAGCTGTGAGCAGCAGCAGCTGTGAGCAGCAGCAGTGAACAGCAGCAGCTGTGAACAGCAGCAGCTGTGAGCAGCAGCAGCTGTGAGCAGCAGCAGCTGTGAGCAGCAGCAGCTGTGAACAGACATGATTGCAGCAAGCCTCCCTGTGAGTGCAGATGGTTCTGTTAGTATTTAAGCCAAACAGCTCTGCTACTGAAGCCTGTGGGATGTCAAGCTTATTTCTCCCAGGCACACATTACAATAACAGCAATAATGTTATAACTATATAACAATAATGGTAATTAGAATTCAATCTGAAGCAATTTGATTTGCTGAACCAAATTACAAACTAATTTATCTACTAATTTTCAGGACATTACATTTAAAACTTGTTGCTTCTGTAAGGATGTTACTTTTCTGTGGCCCGGTTTGTCCGTTTCCCTCGTGCTTCCTCATTAGTTTCCATTGTTGCCACCTGTGTCTCGTCCCAGCTGTTTGTCATCATGTCTCGTCTTCTCCTTGTATTTAAGCTGTCCTATTCTGTCTTGTTCTTCGTCGGGTCGTCTTCGTTGGGTACGCTTCCTTGGGTCTCCTGAGTCTCTCCCTGTCTTCCTGGTCCCTCGAGTTCCCCGTGTCTCCACAGTTCCCCGTGCCTCCTTCCTTGTTTATGCAAGTTTTGCTGCCCCATCAGCTCGTTTATTTTGTACTTTTCATTTATCATTAAAAACCTATTTTTGTATATCTGCCGAGTTGAGTCCCTGTTCTGCACTCTGGGTTCGCTCCTGACACAAATCCTAACAGTACGACCCGACCAGAACAGAACCCAGCGGGCAGGGTTCTCACTCGGCAACACTCACCATTTTTGTTTTTTTCCTCCTCGTGCCGTGATGGACGAGCTCCTCTCCGTCTCCGTCCATCCACCGTCCCGCCGCCGCCGCGGTGGACGGTTCCGGAGGCAGTCTGCGGCGGCCGGCCCGGTCTCGTCGGCCGAGCAGAACTTCAGAGCTGGTTCCGGTGTTTTCGTGGGAGCGGGGTTCGCCGCCTCACCTCCCAGGTTTCCGATGGGGGCGAGATCCAGCGTCCCGCGGGAGCTCCGGTCCACTCCTGCTCGATTCGGTGAGTCCGGTCCGGTTGACGTCATTGGGGCGGGTTCCGTCGCCTCACCTTCCAGATTCCTGGTGGGGGCGGAATCCGGCCTCTCACCGCCACTCCGCGCCGCGGCTGTTCGACCCAGCCTGGCCGTACCTCCGGAGAGTTTTCTTTGTGACACCGTGGGGGCTTGTCCCGCCGCCTCACCTTCCAGGTTTCCGGTGGGGGCGGCACCCGTCACCACACCCACTCATACAGACCTTTCTTTTTTTTCCCCTGAGGATATTTTTCATATTAATCAGACAATTCTCAAACTATTTAGTTCTGCTAAAAGAAACCCGTCCTCCTTTGATTTAGTTTTGACCCAGATGGAGGATTTTTTACTTTCTATCCCAGGCCTTTCTTTGCTCCCCAAGTATGATTTTTTGTTATCAGAATTAAAGACTCTAAAGACTCCTGTTGCAGCCATTCCTGAGGTGGACCCCACGCTGCACGCAGCCTCTGAGGTGGGTCCTCATCTCTCCTACTCCGAGGGGGTCCCGGCTGATGCTCCTCATCTCTCCTACTCCGAGGGGGTCCCGGCTGACGCTCCTCATCTCTCCTACTCCGAGGGGGTCCCGGCTGACGCTCC